GGGGAGAAGGGTGCAACAATGAATGAATGGAATTCCAAAATCTCTGTAGATGTTCATTGAAATGAAAAATAAACAACCTAAATTTAAAAAAAAAGAGGTGTGTCATAGAATGTTCAGTGCCGAATATATAATGTCTTCAATAAAAATTGTACATTTGAGCCATAATATTGCCCAACTTTTGCAACAAATGTACATAGAACCAACTTGGTATACTGTTGTGTCATAACAAGTATCTCTGTCATCTTACAGCTTATAGCACCAAAACTTGTGTACCACAATCGTATCTTTCTTGTCACAGAAATGAAATAAGGAAAAATAGCTCAAATTATCAACTCTTAAAACTTGTTCTCAGTCAGAACTACTACATATTTTCCAACTATAAACAGTGACTACTTTTCAAGAGTATATGTTAGAAAGTCCTTCATAGCATAGGAAAAATGTTGAACAGAACTCAAATAAGAAAAAAAGTCCAATCTTATTGATAATATATTTATGAATAAAGCAACTAGCTCCCCTTCAACCTTGGAACTAAACTCATGCCTATTGTTCAAATTTCATCTATCTAAGTAGTGAGCCAGAGTGCTCTTTGGAGGCAATAATGATGAGGCTTCACTTCACATACTTTGGGCATGTTGCTAGGAGGAGCTATTCCTTGGACAAGAACATGATGCTGGGAAGGGTGGAGGATTGGTGAAAGGGAGGAAGATCCTCAATCAGGTGGATCGACATAGCGACTGCTGAAATGGGCTCTTGTGTGTCAGAAAGTGTGAGGATAGCACAGGATAGAACAGGGTTCAGATCTTTTGTTCATAGGGTTTTTATGAGGCATACATAAGTTGATGACACCTAACAACAATAACAGAGAGCAGAAAACAGGACACAGGGGCACAGGGCCATGAGTGTCTCTCTGAAAGGGGTAGAGGGAGTGAGAATAACATATCCCCTCACTGCCTCAGAGCTGAAAGCAGATAAAGAACCTTTAGCCCAGCCCCATGTGCCCCACCCAGCAGCAGCAAGAGATATGTTTATTCATTGCTGACTCACAGTTGTGGTACTGAGAATGGAATTTATTTAAGGAAGTAAGTTGGAGAGTGGGGAAGGCAAAGAATATCACCCAATGTAAATCCAAGTCTTACTCCAACATTTCCAAGGCACAATTCCTCAAGGCTCTGGTTTCAGTTCTACAGTCAAATCCAAATCATCTAGCCAGGTTTGCCTCAGAGTAGTTATAAGTCAGCTTCTCCTTCAAGCATCTGACAAGAACAGCAAACCCTTTAGCTACAGCAGGCACAAATGCAAGCAGCCTCAGATCACACCTTGTCACAGTTTCTCCATAGCAATGCCACAGTCTTTCCACTACCATGACCAGGATTTCACCATCAGGACCTTGGTTTTACAAGAGCTTTTCTCCAGTCTCCCTCAAGTCTTGCTGCTCAGTGTGGGAAGCATTATTTTTCTTATCCTAGTCCCACAGCTGTTGATAATTTGCAAGACTTGTGTCTGCAATTAAGGTAGTTGGAGACCAGAAAGGGGTTACTGGAATGGCTAAAAAAATCCAACTTTCAGGCTAACATCACTTCCTCCAAATAACAAATAGGTTTATCCAGTAAATAGTAGTATGAGGAAGCTCTAACATACATTAAAACAATTGATTATTTAAGTCAAAAGGGCAGCATTTGCTCATAGACAACATTCAGAATGTAAGAAAGGGTAGGAAAGAAGAAATGGGAATGAGAAACATGAGGAGGAAGGCGGATACATTGTTGGGATTATAACTGATGGCATGGGACAAAGTGTGTTTGAAGTGCTGAATAGAAAATTTATTTGCCCTATAAACCTTCACCCAAGTCACAATAAAAATCTAAAAAAGAAAATATATTTTACTGGTGAGTCTGGTCAGGAAAGAAACATTCTCACACATTGCTTGTGCCATACTTTTTCTAGAAGAGAATTTGGCAGTATCTAACAAATCATTCAAAAATGACCAAACAGTTTACACTAGACTTTCAAATAAATCCAAGCAACTTACCCTCCAGAATCTAACCATTTCAAACAGGAGGCCCCAAACTACTAGTGGAACATGAAAAATTATAATAGTGTAATGTTAGAGCCCAGATTGGAAGCATGTTGAAATAAGGAAAAACAATAAGAGTGGAGGGTTGTCAAAAGAAAGGAAGACCCTTGACCAGGTGGACTGATGCAGTGACTGCCACAATGGGCTTTTGTGTGTCAGGAAGTGTGAAGATGGCACAGGATAGAACGTGGTTCAAATCTTTTGTTCATAGGGTCCCTATGAATCAAACTCAGTTTGGTGGCATACAAACAAACAAACAAATTGTTAACAAAATGGACTTCTGGTGGCCTAGCAGTAAGGAGATACACCCAACCTAAAAGTACATGGTTCTAATTTACCACATTGCATGGGAGAAAGATGGGAAAATCTCCTCACTTGTGATATGTTGTTGTTATTGCTGTTAGGTGCTCAAGAATCAAGGCGATCCATAATGACCCTATGAACAAGAGATCTGAACCCTATCTTATCTTGTGCTATATTCACACCTCCTGACACACCAGCACCTATTACAGCAGTCACCATGTCAATCCACATGGTCAAGGGTCTTCCTCGCTTTTGCCAACCCTATACATCTCTGAACATAATGTCTCTCTCCAAGGAACATATCTGAAGCATGGGAGGCAAAACCTCCAAAGAGCACGCTGACTGCACCCTTTCCAAGACATACTTGTGATTTTGGCTGTCCATGGGATGTTCGGTGCTCTTCTCCTGTACCACAGCTCAAAAGCATCAATTATACTGCCATCCTTATTCATTGCCCAGCCCTCAGATCCATAGTAAGTGATCAAAAAGACCATGGCTTGACTCAGATGCACCTTAATCCTCAAACTGATATTTTTACTCCTAAATAATTTGGAGAGGTTCCTAATTGTAGACTTTACCAGTGCAATATGTCTCCTTATTTCCTGACTGCTGGTACCAATGGTGTTACTTGTGAATTCAAGTAAGATGAAGTTGACAGTTTCAATCTTTTCTCCATCTATCATGATGTTGCCTTACTGGTCCAGTGGTAAGAATCTTTGTCTTTTTTACAATGAGATGCAATCCATAATGAAGGCTGTATTCTTTGATCCTCTGCAACAAGTGCTTCAAGTATTCCTCACTTTCAGCAAACAAGGTTGTGCCATCTGCATAGTGTGGGTTGTTGATGAGTCTCCCTCCAGTCCCAATGCCACAGTCCTCTTCATAGAGTCCAGCTTCTCAAATAATTTGCTCAGCATACATATTGAATAAGTTTGGAAAGAGAATACAACCCTGACAGGCAAGGACAGGGCAGGCAATGAGGAGCCACCAGCAGGGATGCATCCCCTGGTGCTGCTTCCAGTCAAAAGATATGTGAGAGAATGAAGCAACAAGGGGTGGAAAATGCTTGAGGGACCAGAGGCTAGGGTTTAAGCTTGAGTCTATCCCATCTGAATTAAAAAGACATCTCATGAACAGACTGGACGTCTTTAACACTAACGAGGAAAGGCCAGATGAGCTGTGGGAGGATATAAAGAATATTATCCATGAAAAATGCAAAGGTTATTACAAAGACAAAGCAGGAATAAAAGACCAAGATGGATGTCTGAAGGGACACTGAATATTGCACTAGAGCACCAAGAAGCCAAAGCAAAGGAAAGAAATCATGAAGTTAAGGAACTGAACAGAAGATTTCAAAGTATAGCTAGGAAAGATAAAGCAAAGTATTATAATGAAATGTGCAAAGAGACTAAGAAAATAAAAAGGATTGAATTCTCTCCACATCTCCTAAGTGGAAGGAACTGAAGAACAAATTAAAGTCTTGAGTTGCAATACTTAAGGATGCTAGGGGCAAAATATTGAATCTAGAAGCATCAACAGATGATGAAAAGAGTACAGTCACTATACAAAAAAAGAACTAGCTGATACAGAAGTATTTAATAAAACAACTTATGTTCAAGAGGCAAACAGTAATGGAGGAAGTTTAAGCTGATCTGAAGGAATTGGCAAAAAAACTCCCCCCAAACCCCAACAAAAACCAAAACAAGGCCCCAGGAATTGATGAAATGCCAATTCACATAGTCCAACAAACATATGTAGTCCTGGAAGTGCTTGCCAAGCATTCTAGAGGACAATCCATTGGACTAACTTACTGGAAGAGATCCATATTTATTCTTTTTTTTTTTTAAATGATCCAACAGAGTGTGGAAATTATCAACCAATATAACTATTATAACATTCAAGCAAAATCCTGCTGAAGATCATACAAAAGAGCCTGGAACAGTACATAGAACTACCAGAAATACAAGCTGGGTTTAGAAGAGGTCATGGCCCTAGGGACAACATTGCCAACCAACATCAGTTGGATCCTGGCTGAAAGCAGAGAGGACCAGAGAAATGCCTATATGTGCTTCATTGACTATACAAAGGCATTTGACTGCATGGATCACAACAAAT